TAAATAAGTAGTAAAACTTCTGCTGGCAAAATCAGATAGATTTTGCCTTAAGTGACTTCCTAATCATTAGTTCTAGCTCAGTGTAATATAGATCTTCTACGTAAGAATTTATGGTGTATTCATAGTATCCCTCTTACTGTGTGCAGAAATGTGTTTTTTTACTTATTCTGCTACTTAAAGTTTTTTTAAATTTTATTTTCTACCTTTTGTGCTCACAGTAAGAAACTAAAACTAATTAAAGAAATTTTGAGTGTCTCTAAAAGATAGTGAAATAAACTCAGTGGCTTTTTGTTGTTGTTGCCTTATTAACTAAGAACAACTAGTTGTAACAGTTAAAATAAAGCAGTAACTTTAAAGGAAGAAGATAGATGTATTTCACAAGACCTGCTTCAAAATCCACATCTGCTTAGGTTGAGGTATTGTTTTTAACTCTTTTATAAACAACTAGTCATTGAAGATTTCCCCCCAGTGTAATTTTCTCTATCTCTTGTGGAATATAATATGTAATTGTTAAGACTTTGACTGCAAATAAGTATATTCTTTATGGGATCATTTGCATTTAAAAAAAGCTCAAATTAATTATATTTAGTTTGCAGAGGGTGAAGATCATCTATGTAATCTATATCTAGTATGGCCAGTTTGACAACTACATTTGAAAAATCTGTTTCACTGCTTGTTTTTTCCTATAACATTGTTTCCTGCTGTTATAACTAAGCTGTCCTGCCCTGCAGTTTGACTTTTTCATCTGACATCTTAGGCTGATCATGCCAGTGTTTTCTAGACAACACATTTATGTAGCTATTAAGCTACAATATTTCCATTCCTCCTTATTATAAACTCAGTTCCACCTGTAGTCAGTTCTGTTAGAACAGTGGTTTTGTCATGGTGATTATGTTATGATTGTATGAAATGGGGCAAATTTTGAGAAAATGAGCCAGTAGCAGAATTGGTTGGCATATGCCCATATGATTTATTTAGTTTGCTTCCTACTTTGCCATACCAGGGAAAAATTTAATTCCACCCACTTCCCGAAAGACAAAGGAGGGATTGGAGGACACTGAAGTGAAAGGAATCTTATTTTTTCCCCCAGAGTAGCTTATATAATGTCAGGAAGGGCTTTGACGAAACCACTGGCCCTACTTATAGATCTTATTTTCCAAGCCTTTCATTATTTTATTTGCCCTTTTCTGAACTCTACAATTTCCCTCTCTTGTAGCTGGTTCGATGCCCAGAACTGAATGCTGTGCTCCAGCTGTGGCCTCACCGGTGCTGAATAGAGAGGAAGAGCCACCTTCATAGCTTACATGTGATTCCTCTGCTTATACAACCCAATACTGGATTTACTTACTTTGGCAAGATAGCTGCATTGTGCACTGTATTTAATGTTACGTGTACTGTAACCCTGGGTCTTTCTCTGCATTGCTGCCGTTAAACCCCCAATCCTGCCAATCTAAAACTCCTACCTTTGTTTACCTGCCCCCTCCCTCACAGACCTCCCCCCACATTCATCCACAATGAATGCCATCTTTATTCTCTCATTTCCTTTCCCTCCAATCTTAAACTTTGGCAAAACTTTCCCTCCATCTATAAATTATCAGTTGTCAGCCATCTTGTTTTCCTTCCTGCTTTGGTAATGGGACATCTTTTAAGCCTTTTCTCTGGTTCTTTTCCGGTTGTGATTAAACACTTGACATTTCTTCCAAATCAAGTACCTACCAACTCCTTCGATTTGACCACCTAATCAAGTTGTTACCTACCCTTTAGTTCTTTCTAGTTTCTCTTGACTCCTGACCTCTATCCCTCTGACCTCCTTCAAGAATACAGTATTACCTCACTGCTCTTCCCCAGGGAGGAGACTGTAATATTGATTTACCATGGAAACTTCTAGCAATAAGGAAAGTGTTATTCTTCCTAATTGTGAATAGACTGATCTTTTAATAATTTTGAGCAAATTCTTCCCCCACCCCAAAATCTTAATTTTTAAAAGAAAGTGCTAGAGGTTAAAGTACCACACATTTCTAAGATGAGTGAGGTAAAGAAAGAAGGAAGGGAAATAAGGTATTTGTGTTGGGTAGGAAACAGCCCTCCAAGAAAGTGAAACTTGAGGTTCTTGTTGGGTTTGGTATGGCTGTTCGAAGTGGGAGGTGAGATTTAGCTTTTCATAGATTTTGGAGCATTATTGTAATCTCAGATTTAGAGTAGATTTTTAAGTTGTCTTATTTAGGACTGTTGACACAGACACACAGTCATTTAATTGCGTGCTTTGGTTCATCGTTCAGAGTGTGGGAAGTGTAACCTTTCCTGATTGGAAGGCCTCCATATGTTCCCTTTATCCGTTTCTAAAGTCCCTGCAGCTTTCTCTGAGTTCAGTGTCTCCCATTAGTGTGGTCGCGCTCAGGTTTGAGCTCTTACTTTTGTTTTCTATATTTGTTGATGTGTCCTATTCAAACAACCTCTCCTTGGATCTGTGGATCCTTTACTGAACCCGGAAGGTACCTCTTACATGTATTTTATGTCTTGAGAGTTTTAAAATCAATTTGGAAGTCTTTTTAATGTTACTCCAGTATACTGAATTCCTATCGTATGGATTTAGGAATTACCAAGCATTTTTCCTCCAGACCCCAATAGATATTTTTCATCTCAACACATCACACTCTTAAAGCATATCACAAAAGTACACTACAAGGAAAGAGGTGGCAAGATCTCATAGCCTTTTTTGATGAAATACAAAATATATCATCTGACTGTTCTTCTGTATCTAAACCATTAGATATTGCTAGCTTCCTTATTCACAATTACATAAGCCAAGTGAAATTTTAAGCTCAATTTGGTGGTTTCAAAGAAACCTGTCATTTCCCACCATGTATATTGTCAAAAGATTGGTAGCTTTGCTTCTGATGCCCCTGTCAGTCCCGATAAGTCTGGCACGTTCCTTCAAAGGAACAGGAGTTTTATTCCTTGACTTCTGAAATGATCCCTGGTGACAGATGTGACTGGACTCTTGTGTGCTGCACGCATTTCTCGAGGGAGCCAGAAAGGAGTGAGCAGTGACATCTCCATTTATGGCTTTGGAAGGGTGAGAGGGACACGGCCGGGACTCTCCATGTACGGTCGTTGGAGGAGTCGAAAAGAGCAGTTGGGGTGTTCTTGGAGGCAGAAACTAGACACTGAGATAAAAATAAGTTGGCAGGAGACGTTTGCAATTCAAATTCCAATCCCTGCAAGGAGGGCAGAGGGCACTGGGAAAGGGGAGTATATAGAAAGTTAAATGAGATCTGCTGCAGGCATTTGTCTCCTTCCATTGGAAAAGTTACCCTGTGACATAGTCCCCAAGTTCATTTCCGACTTTTTTCGAGAAAGTTTCGTGTTATGTAGCTGTGACTACCTTTTACAAGAGAAAGAGGGAACACTTTTAATCAGAAACCTCAGCCCTTTAAGGCATCATTTGAGGCACCAGAAGAGATCTCAAGAGAGGGAGAAAGGCAGATGCTTATGCAGGGGGTAGGCTGGCTGGTTTTTGGACAAGGTAACTAATCAGCGCTCTGTATATGTCTGAGGAAGATCATCCTATGTGTCGTGTTTTTATTATTGCTTTTGCCCATCTGGATTCCTAGCCTTAAGGGACTGATCTGCCAAGTATTTTGACAGAGTGTCTTCTTGTTCTTTGTCACCTGTGATTTAAAGATAACTGAACTTTCATGGAGGCTCTGTAAAGATTATTAAGAGTTGTTTTAGTTTGGTGAGAATATGTGATATACTGGCTTATGGAAAGTAATCTCACATTTCGGAGAAGTGTACAGTCTGATTAATACATATAAATTAAGTCTGAGGTGAACCGGTTTTGCACAGTCGAGTCAGGAAGTATTCAAGAGCCACCAGGGAAAAAGGGTCTTGTCCCTCAAGAAAATTCTGAGTAAATTCAGTAAAGTAGAAGGGAGCTTAGAAGGAACTGAAGGAGCAGAGATTGGATAGAGACTGGATGTCAGTAAACTAAATGTGGATGCTGGGACTAAGTCCTTGATTTATCTTTTGAAATACCATGTAAGACAGAGTAAGAGATGCCATTAATTAAGGAAACTGGGCTAATGATCAGAAAGAAGTATGCGTTAGAAGACCATGAAGAAAATGGGTTATGCAAAGACATTAAGATTGTCCAGGTTTTCCCTGTGGACTTGCACAGTGATTTTTATTCACTCTGTAGCACACGGCAGAAAAAGGAGTGCAATGATACCCCTCCACCTCAACTCACTTTCCCCCCAAAAAAGGAGATTTTTGGTTTGTTTGGCTGACAATTTGAGTTGGTAGAATCAATTAGAATTGGCTAATCTCCCAATGTAGGAATTAGCATATTGTTTCTTGAGAGTTGATGTTTGAGACCGGGGCTCTGTAGCATAATTGATTTGACCTCTTTTAAGTTTTAACAGTTTCCCTAAAGACAGTAAGTTAGTAAGAACTACGGGCTTGGAAGGTAATATGTTTTACTAGCTGATTCGCTTAGGCAATTGTTTTTACCCTGATTTCCTTCTGAAGAATAAGGAAGGTTATATTCTTTGCTTTGGGAAATTCTTCTTTCTGTTCCTCCCTTCCCTCACTTTTTCCAAATTCTGGGCACAATAGCAGCTCTTTCTCTTCTGTGGCAGGTGTGCATCCTATTGGCTGGCTGGTATTTCTTGTTTTCTTTTTTTTTCCCCTACTTCTTTTTAAACGGGGGTGGGGGTATAAAAATATGTGTTATGGGGTACATGCAATAATGTTGTAATGTTTCTTGTTGTTTAATGGATGATTAATTGCAAAATAATTGTTTGAATTATAACATGTTTGAGTAAATGCTAAATTAGTTTTTTTTTCTAATATAATAATGAATTTGAAATCTAGCATTCCTGTAACAATGTGTCTGTGTTTGTCTGTCTGTGTCTGTCTAATAGTAATTAATATCTGTGGTCCGTACCTGGAAGAGGAAGTACAGCTTTAAAGGAATAACAAAAGACTTTGTGTCTTAGACCCTTCGCAGGTGTTACAGTCGGGTGAAAGAACATGGTGTTGGGAAAAGAAAGAGCAGTTACACATTTGAACAGTTGGAACAGGTGTTTGGTCAGGGAGGATGGGATGCTCAGCCCTGCCAGCCTGTACTTATTAACAGTAGTGGCTTGTACCAGGAGCTGGAGTCAGATGGCAGCACTATGGAGGAGTATTCACAGGAGGACTGGGGAAACCACAGTCAGGATCTCCACGGCTATCCAACAGATCAGGAATTGGGTAAGAAAGCCAATATATATGATACTTACGTGTGTGTGTATGCCTTTAGATGTGTACTGGTACTTAGTATCCGTCAGATCTCCTGGTACGGTTCCCACTGGCAGCAGGCAGCACCTGGCACATAGCCAGCCCATTTGGGGCAATTTGGGCATTGTTGGCTTAGCCCTCAATTGCCAGCTAGTGCCTGGTGTTAGTCATTTGGATTTGGAAACCAGCAAAAATCCTTAAAGACACAGAATTCCTAATTGGTGACAGGTAGAATCCTATGCCATTTGAAATATCCTGACCTTCTCATTCTAGGTAGCTCAAGAACGTTAACTCTTGGCTCAAAACTGCTATAGACCCAACTATCTTTTCCTTGCTTTTTCCTAAATACTTTTACTTTTCTGTTTGCTGTTTGTGATTTGGAAAAGGTCACCACCCACACTTTAGTCTGAACAAAAAAATAAAAAAGAGAGAGAGAGAAGCCTCCGTTTATCTTGAAAAGAGCTGATACTTGAATTTTATCAGTGATCACTAAGGATCTTATCCTGAGCAGTAGCTGGAATGATTTAGGCTTAACATTAAGAATGGAAGATTACTCCTGGCCATCACATCTAAACTTGGGTGGCCTAATGAAGAGGGGATATGGAGTTAGTTTTTGTTTCTTTTTGCAACAAATGCCCCAGTTTGGATTTTCATAATTCGGAAGTACTGTTAGTTTCTGCCGCACCACTGGGCTTCAGTAGCAAGTTGTGTGATGCGTGTTCACTTACAAGGAAATGTTTTTCTCTCCATTGAGCTACTCTGGCAAGCTCCAAAGATGTATAAGTAGGATAGGCACTATGAACGTGCTTCTCTGGCTTAAGATAAAAGTCCACAGGCATTGTTTTACAGAATTCCTGATGGTAGAGAAATGCTAATGCAAAAGAAAAAGGATTAAATGCTAATATTTCTTACAAATACTATTTCTTTTTAAATCTCTCAAATATTGGAAGACAGAGGGAGAGAACTGTAAAACTAATGCAGTGTACAAGAGGGACTTAAAGACTGGGAGAATAAAAAGGGAAGATGATCACTACCTTTTAATTTCTAAACAGTAATAAGGCCTAAATTACTTTGGCATCCTATAATTCTGGCTTTGTCGTGGAGAGTTAAGTCATCCAAACCTTTGGAAAATAAATTAAATTAAATTAAATTAAATGCAGAGGATATCGATTCTGATATTGGGAGAATAATTGCCCTGTAAAACCTACATAGGAAGCCTAAATAGAAGAGAATCATTTTTCATTCTTGTTCCTTTAAAAATCATGTTTGTAGTGAAATTAAGCTTTAATCTCCTAGCTAGAAATCCACTGGTGACCTTGAAGAACTTTATACTTGTAGAGCTGGTTTCTGATCTTGCATATAAATGTATGCATCTCATTATATAAGAGTTATGTTTATAAATCTGGCATTGGACAGGATTTGACACCAGAATTACAGCCTTGCGTCGGAAAGTACGGAACACAGTAAACACAATGACTTATGTACATAAATGTCTGCTACTTAGAAAAATATAATTTTTTTCAAAAACCTTGCTTTTCAGATGAAATACCTGTCACAAAGAGAACATTAAAAATAAAACAAGAGTCTTCTGAAGAAGCACAGTAAGTAGATGCTTCTTTCTATAAAGTGTATTAAACTTAATGACCATTGGGAAGATCCAGAAAGTCATGGCTGTCATAGCCAAGCCACCAAGGAAACACGCGTGTTCATTGTTTCACATCTTCTTGGAAGCTTATGTTTGCCAGTGGTTAACCGGAAACGTTGAGAATTTTGCATACAAGACAGAGAAATAAATGTATTACACAAAAATAAGTGCGTTTATGGTGTTTGCCTGGACATGAGTGTGGCTATATGGATGCTCAGTTACGGTACAGAGATGATTCACGGGGTCCTGAGTTTATCTGGGCTTAGGTGAGAGGACAGGAGGGCCGGAGGGACACTTACATTCCTTATGATACTACACTGTGGGAAGCAAAAAGCTAGCTCTTAGACGGCCGTTTTGTACATCTGAAAAAGAAAGCAGTTGCTGGAGGATAGATTAACCCCGAGCCAGGGCCCTTTGCCTGGTCTTCCCCCTGAGTTCAGCATTATCTCTTCTGTAAGGATATGACAGCTCTTTGAGTTTCCGTGATACTGTTTGTGGTTCGTCCGTCCTTCCTTCCTTCCTTCCTTCCTTCCTTCCTTCCTTCCTTCCTTCCTCCTCTCTTCCTTCCTTTCTCTGTGATGGGGCAGGGGCAGAGAGAGAGGGGAACAGAGGATACAAAGCAGGCTGTGCTCTGACAGCCTCTGTGGGGCTTGAACTCATGAACCATGAGATCATGACCTGAGATGAAGGCAGGCACTTAACCAACTAAGCCACCCAGGCGCCCATGCTTGTGGTTATTTTGAATAGCTTTAAGGAAATCCCTGATTATATCTATGAAACAAATATATTAAAAGATAAATTTAGTGGGAAAGTGGAGAAACACCATTTTTTTAAACCTCAAAGCATTCATAGCACCCACTTTTTTCTTCTGTACTTCAGTCCATATGTGCAATCTTGATGTTTGAGTGATGGTGGAGAAAGGGGAACAGCCAAGATGGAAAGAGGTGTGATAGGCAACAAGCAGTATAAAAAAAAGAAACTGATGTTTTCGTTTAGCAAACCACCACCACCACCACCCTTTGCAGATGCCCCTGCCTTTTCCAGAGCATCTGTGGAACCAAAGAATTCCCAATATCAGCTGCTTTCATGACTGGGGAGAGGGTGAAAGTTTAGGGATCAAGAGTTGTTCCTTAAAATTGTCAACACTCCACACTCCTTAAAAAATAAGTTTATGGGAGCGCCTGGGTGGCTTAGTCGGTTAAGCGTCTGACTTTCGCTTAGGTCATGATCTTGCGGTTTGTGGGTTCGAGCCCCGCGTCGGGCTCTGTGCTGACAGCCAGCTCAGAGCCTGGAGCCTATTTCGGAGTCTGTGTCTCCCTCTCTCTCTGACCCTCCCCTGTTCACGCTGTCTCTCTCTCTCTCCTAGAAATAAATAAAAAAATATTTAAAAAAAAAATAAGTTTATGGCTCAAGTCAGTAAGTTCGAATCCATCTCTTGTTGGGAAGTAGGTCTGTTTTCAAATTGTGACATCGGAATGCCCCAAAGGAAGGTTAACTTTGATAAGTATTTTAAAAAATGCATTTTTACAAGTCCGTATCTTTAAACCCCTGTTCTCCAAAAAGGCCATTGACTCTCCTTCGCTAAAATGTCCCATCTCCCTTTCACCACTGGAATCTACAGGGGAGACCCAGTTGATGTAACTGGAGATGAACTGAAACTTAACAGAATTGGTGTCACTACCTTCAAACCATCCACACTTTTCTTGTGGCTGGAACTTCAGAAATCAGGAAATAGGCAGTTCTCTGGAACTACCTAAGTAAATGGGTCTCATTTTCACTGTGCTCCATAGTTTTGCAGATGTGATGAGTCTTAGGCCCAGGGACCTTCAGGCTGAGATCAGATCAGCGAGGCAAGAAACTAACAGGCTGTGTAGAAATAAACATCTTTGCTGCCTCTTCCACAGGTTCTAGCTCACAGAGGAAAAAATATTAGGGTGATGGTTTTTTTATTATTTTTTTAAATGTTTTATTTATTTCTAGGAGAGAGAGAGAGACAGTGTGAGCAGGGGAGGGTCAAAGAGAGAGGGAGGCACAGAATCCAAAACAAGCCCCAGGCTCTGAGCTAGCTGTCAGCCCAGAGCCCAACACAGGGCCCTACCCACAAGCCATGAGATCTTGACCTGCGCCGAAGCCAGACGTTCAACTGACTGAGCCACCGAGGCGCCCCATAGAGTGATTCTTTTTTTTTTTTTTTTAATTTCTAGGAGAGAGAGAGAGAGACCACGTGAGCAGGGAAGGGTCAGAGAGAGAGGGAGACACAGACTCCTAAATAGGCTCCAGGCTCTGAGCTGGCAGTCAGCACAGAACCCGACGCAGGGCTCGAACCCACGAACTGCGAGATCATGACCTAAGCGAAAGTAGGATGCTTAACTGACTAAGCCACCCAGGCGACCCCCCCATAGAGTGATTCTTAATAGACCATTTATTTTCCAGTACAAGTTTCCACAGAACTGTTTCTTATTGATGACTTAAGGCAATTACAGTGCCTAATAAAATAACTTCATTTGGCCATTGGATTATTTTTTTCCCTGTAAGTATAGGTGGATTAGCCTGATCTGGCTGACATAGCCTGTGGTTAAAATGAACCATTCTTCATCCATACAGAAGAGTCGTCTAATCTGCTCACTCAGTCCACATTTCTCTTTTTTTTTTTTTTTTTTAATTTTTTAATGTTTTATTTCTGAGAGAGAGACAGCATGAGCAGAGGAGGGTCAGAGAGAGAGGGAGACATAGGATCTGAAGCAGGCTCCAGGCTCTGAGGTAGCCGTCAGCACAGAGCCCAACGCGGGGCTCGAACCCGCGATCTGTGAGATCATGACCTGAGCCGAAGTCAGACGCCCAACTGACTGAGCCACCCAGGCGCCCCAGTCCACATTTCTCTATCAAGTGCCTCCTTTATGTCAGCCATTGGGACATGTCAGTGAGCAGAGTAGACAAAAATCTCTGCCTTCCATCCCAACTCCTTAGCCTAGTCCTTGAGACCAGAGTCACATTTCAAAAGAGGACAAGGGAAGGATGTGGCTGTGAAAGATAGCTTTTTTTGAAAGCATTGACCCGTGCAGAAACACGGTCCTATATCTTCACCTCACAAGCACCAAACTGAATGTGAGAAAAGTGATCACTGAGTGCCTTTGTGTTCTCTGAGAAGAACAGTTTCCCACTAATGCAGTGGTTTCATCTAAGTGGTCACTCTGGTACTCCAAACTTCCATGACCAGCTGAAGAGTGGCAGATAAGTCCAGGGCAGTCTTTGGCTCCAAGAAGCAGCTGATAACAAAATATTGGCATTTTGTCATCTTGCAAAGAAAGCCAAAGAGAGTAAGAGGACAGACTGAGAATGGCTATGTGGAAGATTCCCCATTTTGTTCCAAAAGCTCTTCCCCTCGAAGATACACGAATTGAATAGGAGGCTTTCAAGCATCTGTCTCCTTCCAAGAAGCCATTAGCACTCAGTGTACACCCTCTTCTCTTGACGGTTTGATTGTACATAAGGATGGTAGTTAAGTATTTTTGTAGTTTAAACCTATAACTGGTGTAGTCTGTAATAGTTTGTTGCTAAGTTAATATTTAACAGACTTCAGTCTTCCAATATCAAAGTTTTGCCATACCTGAGAAACAACCTTATAATTATGTATCCTCATTGTAGTACATGAGTTATTGAAGTGTCAGTTACAATTATAGGAGTTAAACAGCGTGTGAAACAAGAACTTCCCAGCATTTTCTGCTTTACTCTGTTAACTATCCAAATCAAAATAGTTTCTATGCTTTTGTTCCCCTTTAGAAAATATTTTCTTAAAAAATTTTTTTAACATTTTTACTTATTTTTAAGAGACAGAAGCAGAGCTTGAATGGAGGAGGGGCAGAGAGAGGGAGATACAGAATCCAAGGCAGTGTCCAGGCCCTGAGCTGTCAGCACAGAGCCCGACTCAGAGCTCGGACCCATGAACCAGGAGATCATGACCTGAGCTGAAGTCGGATGCTTGACTAATAACTGAGCCACCCAGGCGCCCTGAAAATATTTTCTAATAATCTCAATTCATTCATTTTCCCCTCTTAAAACCTAAGCTTGATGTAGACCTTTTCCATCTGAATTCTCTGATCTTAATTCTGTGTTTAACTGACAATTCTTCTGAATTTGGAAGTAGTAATGAATTTCAGACAAATAGAAGAAAATGTCATTTTGTTTTTGCGTCAGGTCATTAGTCCTAATCAATTGTATATTTTCCTTCAGCAAACACATATGACCCAAAGTTATTGAACTTTTAAGAATTTCCACGTTAGAAATTAAGTTGTTCATTATTTTAAGTGATACTGATACCTTTTTGAATACAACATCCTTCATCTGCTTTTGGTACCTAGGTCTGAAGGCCACCATATGCATTTTAAGAGGCACTTTATAAGTCACTCAGAGAAAGACAAATACTGTATGATTTTGCTCATAGGTGGAATTTAAGAAACATACAAGCAAAGGGAAGGGATTAACAGAGGGGTGGTGGGTGGAGTAAAATAGGTGAGGGGGATTAAGGAGGGCACTTGTTGTGATGAGCACTGGGTGATATGTGGAACTGTTGAATCACTATGTTGTACACCTGAAACTAATATGACACTATGTTAACAATACTGGAATTATAATAATAATAAATACATAATTTTTAAAAATTCTTGATCCTTGGGTTTCTAAAACCCTAGGGTCTTAATGTATCAATAGTCACTAGGTTTAATGCAGCCAGACTATAGAAGTCATAGAAGCAGTTTATCATTAATTCCTAGAAGTCTCCTAGGAAAGAGGGTTCCTCAGATTTTAATACTGTGATTATCTAGATCTGCACCATCTGATAAGGTAGCCATGAGTCACATGTGGCTATTTAGACTTAATTTCAAATTATGATTAAAAATTTAATAGTTCACTCACACTAGCCACATTTTAAGTGCTAATGGCTACCATATTGGGCAGCACAGATATAGAACATTTGCATCATTGCAGAAAGTTCTGTTGGACAGTGCTGATCTAGACACCTGAAGAACTTGTGTTTCTCTTTCTAGGAAGAGAGACATCATGCAAAATATTGTACAAATTTTGGAATCAGTCCAATTGAAATGGGAACTGTTTCAGAGCTGGACGGACTTTTCAAGGCTTCATCTTTCTAATAAACTGGCCATTTTTGGAATTGGTTATAACACCCGTTGGAAAGAGGATATCCGTTACCATTATGCTGAGATCAGCTCCCAGGTGCCCCTTGGGAAGCGACTCCGGGAGTACTTCAACTCCGAGAAGCCCGAGGGACGGATCATTATGACCCGTGTGCAGAAAATGAACTGGAAAAATGTTTACTACAAATTTTTAGAGATCACCATTAGTGAAGCTCGTTGCCTGGAGCTGCACATGGAAATTGACTGGATACCCATTGCCCATTCCAAACCAACTGGTGGGAACGTTGTTCAATATTTATTACCAGGAGGCATTCCCAAAAGTCCAGGCCTTTATGCCATTGGCTATGAAGAATGTATTGAGAGGCCTCCCTCACCGCACATGGAGCGACGTTCCCTGGACCCAGGAAAGGAGAGCCGGGTTGACTTGGAGACCCTGTCAGCACAAGCCTCATTACAGGTGGAAATTGAACCCACCCGAATAACCTATTGCTACCTCGGGATTGCTGAGGTCAGGACTCTCCAGCAATGCTTATTTTTACATTTCCAAGCAAATACCAAAACCTTCAGCAAAGATTGGGTTGGTATTAATGGGTTTTTGTCTCAGAACTGTATTGTGGATCCTGGAGTTTCCCCCAAATCCATCTATATCAAATTTGTAGAAGTAGAGAGGGATTTTCTTTCCGCTGGCTCATTAGTTGAGTGCCTGGAAAAAGCCATTGGATACCCCTTAAAATTTAACAACTGAATGTCATCCTTCATAAGGATTTGGGCTCTTACCTTCCTCTTCTCTACTCACTTTCCATTACCCAGACTGTTCCCTCATCCAGATGCTGCCATCAGACTCTTATGGGAATTCTTTCCACAATTGGGCCAGTACAACTTCTACGGAATCATATGAGACTTTGAACAGAAAACACAGACCTCACCTGAAAATGCTCATTTTGAGCAAGCAAGATTTACAGCGAACTTGCATGGTGGGTCAGCTGTTTCTTTTTTAAACACAAAAAAACAATTTTTAAATGGATTTTAGAGCCCTAATATAAACAAATGTAGGTACATTCCATATTGGACAAATCTTATACTTTGAGTTTCATATGAAATTGAAAAATTGTATTTTTTTCACAATGTTTCATTTTTACACATCTCTACGTCTCTATATAAGTGTTATTTACAACCCTGAATAAGCAATAGATAATGGCAAGTTAAATCTTGAATCACCGTAAATAAGACTGTTTTTCAATATCACCCTTAGCTATATTGTATATAATTTAGAGTTTCATTTTTTTCACCAACCAAGTGTTTTGCTATTCCCAGTCAGTGTTGCCTGCAAAGACCTTTGTTTCTGTGATGTACCAACTTTACGGTTGTGTTGCCATTTAAACTTTTTAACGAAAAAATTATTAAAGTAATTCTTGGCCTCTTGGAGTACTAGTTGAGCTTTCTGTAGCAGAGCTGAGAATGTATGGAACAAATGGAGCGTTTCATTTTGCATTTCTTTCTTTTCTTTTTTAAATGACTAGGATATTCCTTCTGACCCTAAGCGTGTGAATTTGTAAGAGACTTTCACTCCTCATCTTTAAACTCAGTGGTCAGGGGCGACTCAAAGAGTACAAATGGAGAATTGTCATGATACTGTTATAAGAAAAGAGAGTCGATCCAATAGAAACATCTAAAACCTTTTTGAAAGTGATCCACGGGGTAGGAAGTTGTAAGGAATCAGTCCATTAGGAAAGTGGTCATCACATTTAGATATCTCAGGAGTTTCTTTGCATTAGCTACACTTTACTTGGAGGTTAGTGCTCTTCTCTGACGACTAGCTTACTAGAAGGGCAGTCAGAGATCACTTTGGTCTTATGGCCGGGACTTGTTAGATTGATGATTTATCTTTAATGATTCCCCCAACCTCTCTCAGGTGCTCTGCTTTAGACGGTCTGCAAATCCAGGTAAGAGCTGTAATTTTCCCCATTTTTTATACTATTGAAGATTAAATTGCATATTGATAAAAAAAAAAAAAAAACTCTTCCTTCCTACAACCTGGTGTCAAATCAGTGATTTTTCTCACCCTGATACCTCTTGGTTGGTTGATACTTATGTTTCAAATGGCTAGAGGGCTTATAATCAATGGGATGAGTTTTATGAATGTCATTTTAGCCTAGGTTTAAGGAGCTGGCTGTTTTCTTATATAAGCTGCTAAATAGGGCATCCTAGTTTGGGTGCCTGGCTGGCTCAGTTGGTAGAGCACGCAACTCTTGATCTTGGCGTCATGAGTTCAATCCCCACATTGGGCGTAGAGCTTACTTAAAATAATTTGTTTTCATGGATGCTAGTTCAGGAAGAGTATAAATATTCTTGGAATGTGAGTGTAGCACCTCTTCTCCCTGGGTACAGTCTGTAGGTGTGGGCCTTATAAAATTCTCCTGAGTTTGCTTTGGAAGTTCTTTGGGAGTTGGAATTACAGACCTAAAGGCTAAGGCTGCACTGACCATCTTATAGCAGCAATTTCTTAATATTCAGTGCTAAGTGCTGCAGGAAAACGCATTACCAGGAGTTCTACACGGCATCCCCCAACCTTTGCCACTGACAACCCCCCAAACCAACGTGCTTCGTGCATTTTTTTTTTCTCAATCCCCCTTCCTGCTGTTGTTTAGTTACTTAGCTGGGGCAGATCACTTTGGGAACATTTATCGAGGATGTTTTAGACTGACCTAACGCTACTGAGAATGGGGCATTACTAGGCCATGGTGAGCCACATGAAGAAGATGGCCAAGACGAGATCCAGGATCCAGTATGTTTTCACCATCTGGCTTGGGATGGTTAAGTGGTAGCGGCAAGAGGTCAAAACTGAACAATGGGAAACGGATGCCTGATAACTGAATATCTAGTTTCTTTGACCAGAACAATCTAGAAGAGAGGATAGCAGGGAATCAGATGAACTTTGCAAAAAAAAAAAAAAAGGGGGGGAGGGGGGACTTAATGAAGCCTTATAATGAGTCAAGGGGGTTGGATACCTTATGTTCAAACAAGAATCAGCATGAGAAGATCCTTTGAGATATGAGATGAAGTGTGACTAGAAGAAATACTAGTGACCTGCACGTCTCTTAACACATGAAACTATGCTCATGCATGCAACATGTTTATGGAGGCAGCCTCCAGGTCACTCACGGGTTATCTGCCAGCATTCTCATCTCACACAAGGGTTCATCCTAAAATGGATCTTGGCACTTTCAGAATGGAATGGAGCTGCTCTGCTGACTTCTGTCACTTTGACTGCCTGGGGGCAGCAGAAAGTAGTTGGAATAGGCGTTCAAGTGGGAAATGTTTTGGTTGGGGTGAAGGGCTGTGGAAGAGTCCTCACGGGACTGCAGTGTGTCACATGGAGATTTTCACTGCCCACACATCTTTGGTTGCAGCTTTCCTTCTGATGTTGCAAGTTATTTGGATCTAAATTCCGAAGGAAAAGTTAGCTTCGGAGATTGTATATTGAGGCTCTAATATAGCACTTGACAGGGATGAGCACAGCCTGCAAAATTAGGCTTTGGCATTCCTGGGATACAGCCAACGGACTTTGCACTTTGTTGGAGGGAGTTACATATTTGGGGTACCTTAACCCTGTTCTGGAAATGAAGGAGGGTGGTTGACAGGACCTGGTTTGCAGTGTAAACTAAAGGAAAATTTGAGTGTGATAGAATAGAAAAACCGAACCAACACCTTGTCCCCGGTACACACACACACACACACACACACACACACACACACACACAAGTTTATAGGTCCTTATAAGTATATAAGGGTCTGAGACTGGCAGTTGTCTATTTCTGTTGCCTTTGCTGCTGCTGAGTTGCCAAGTATTAGATTCCAGGGGTTACGTGAGCAGGCTAGTGTTTGCATAGGCATTGCTCAAAGCCACTGCATGGCAGGTATTTGAAGAGCAGCCAGCAAAGTCACACTAGGAAGAAGCATCGAGAAGGTCTGCGGGGCACTGTGTACAAAAAGACCTGCTGCCGCACAGGCACAAGAACCACACTCGGTGTTTAAAACAGTGCAGAACTGTATGTGGAGTAAATGGAATCGACGTCCTGGCTGCTTTTCTTCCCAGTCCACTGCCACCCAGAGTAGGCAGCGCCAAGGATTCGTTGTTATGCTCTCTGCCCCGGATGACCTTTGTTCGGCCATTAAGCTGTGCCAGGATGTTTGAAGCATCTGTATTTTGGCTGTTGGACAGCGAAGCGAGAACAGGTGCGTCCCCTTCTGTAAGGGAGCCGCGGCCGCTAGAGGGCGCGGAGCTGCCGCCGGACAGACCCGGCGGAGGGGCGGGAGTGTGGGGGGAGGAACGGTTAAATTAAATTCGCCGCGAACGAGATCTAGTCCCGGGAATTAAAGGATCAGAGCGGGCCCGATGACGGATGCGGGGGGGGGGGGCGTGAAGATACGGAGATAAATTGGGGGGGGGGACTTTGTCCAGTTTACCTTCCCACAGCTGCTCCTTCCTCCCCAGTCAGCATAAAGCCTATAAGCCATTGTGGCTGGAGGTGAGCTGGAAGCCGGGCACCTGTTTCCTCAGTTTCCCCCTCAGCTCCTGGGGCTTCCTTGCTCCAGTCCTTTCCCTGCGTGTGAGGCACAAGACCCGGTGACCTTGAGGGCTAGGTTTTAGGGAGGCTCTGAGGACCTGCGAGCCCCTCTCTTCGCCTCCCGCGGGTGCAGACGGTCCCCGCGCGCACCCGCGGGCGCGGCCCTGGGCCTGCCCCGAGCAGCCGCGGAGGCCCCTGCGGGGCCGGGCGGAGGCAGGGCGCCCGCACATCCTCTCTGCACGGCTCGGAGGAAAGCCTCTCTTGCGGGCCGGAGAACCACGTCCCTTCCTGCAGCTCCCCCCCACACACTTCGGAAGCGCAGTGGCTCCGGGACAACGCGGCTCCCCTCTTCCTCCTCCAGGAAGGCCGCCCCGCTTAGGCCAAGGACGCGGTACCCCCAAACTCGGAGCCAGAGCCCAGGCCGACCACGGTGTCAGGCGTGCAGGTGGCTCCTGGACGTCAGAGGATCCCCAGACCTCCCTCCCCTCCCCGTCTTCCTTCCCAACCCAAGCGGGCGGAGGGGGAAGGGCATGGCCCCCGTGTGGCAGTTCGGGACCCTTCCCATTTCCCCTGGCCCGGCCGCCTGTGGGGGCACCGACACTTACCCAACCCCACCCTGCGTTCTGCCGGGGCGGAAGCCTGGAGGTCCTGCCGTCGGAGCGCTGGAGCCCTCCCCCAACCCCCCGCCCGCGGCGGGTCACCCGCACGCCCCGCCCGGGGAGACCGCGACCTCTCCGCCCCCTTCGGACGCCCCGCCCCTCCGTCCCCGTCGGTCCCCACCCCGCCGGAGCGACACGCGCGCACAGACTCTGGCTAGAGCCGCCCTTGGTGTCCGTGGCCCGGCTCCCGCGTCCGCCCCAGCTGCGGAACCGCCTCAGCACCTGTCGGTTGGTGTGTCCCCGAGCCGGCGCCCCTGACTCCGTCGGGGCCAGGAGGGGGACCATGGTTTTCTTGCGCAGGTCGCCTGCGACCGACTTGCTTCGGTTTTTCTTCCTGGGGCTGAGTACCCTCGGTGAGTGCCACCTGGGACCGGGGGGTGCGAGGGGGGGTTGGACTTGAGATGGGAAATGGGATGAATCCAGCCCCCGAGGGAGGTGGTTTGGGGCACTGGTGAGGAACTGGATGGAAGGGGACTCCCGCCTCTGACTCTCGTCCTCCTCCCCTACACTCCCAGCCACCTCTCCACACCCAGGGAGGGTATCACTGGCTGGCGTTGACTTCTGTTTCTGCGGATCCCCGACAGCTACCACTGTGGGTGTGGGGCGTGTGTACCAGGGGAGAGGGGCAGGGCGTCTGGCTGGGTAGACCTCTACAGCGACTGAGGTGTGGGAACATTCCTCATGCGCACTCCCCACCTCCACCCAGAAGAGCCGGATGAGCTGAGCTACTAGATGAGACACCGGCTAAAGAGCTTAAGGACTTAACTCCAGCCCCCCTCATCTCCCCCACCCCACACACAAGCTGATGTGCAAGAACCCCCAGGAACTCCCTGGATCCCAGACTTAATGAACGCACTTCACCATCAATTCCCCAGCCCAGATCCTCTCTCTGTCCCCTCCTGCTTCCTGCCCTGGGAATAAAGGGAGGTGCCCCAAAAGCATGACCGTGAGGTCACTTGGGACACAGGAAATGGGGGAGGGGTCTGAATGCCTAGAGGAGCAGAATTGTGACCCCCCCCATGATGTCCACCACCCCTATTGGTTCCCAGAGGCAAAGGGACAAAGGAAATAGTGAGGAGGTTCCTCAAAGAGAGAGGAAGGGTGCCTCCTTGGAGCAAGTGCCTAAGGAGTGTTGAAGGCTTCCAGAGCTCCCAGGAGCTGGGGGTGGCCCATTCCTACAAATGGAGAGAAAAGGATCCAGCAGGAACTAAGCCCGTTATATGCTTGTTTCACTTCCTCCAAGGCTTTCTTGCCATCTCTTTTTTAGGATCCCAAATAGGGCGAAGGTCAACTTTAACTCCTCATTTCTCTCAGATTGGAAGTCCCCAGATGCAGAGAGCTGTAGAGTGAAATTCAGTCACAGTGATGGGGACCAAGATGGGGAACACCTAAATCACCCGTGCCCCCTTCAGCTCTGTCTGTTGCCTGCAAAGGTGTGGGGGCATGAAGTTTTAGGGTCCCCAGACAAAGCGGGCTCAAGAGTGGCCCACCTGCCACACCAAAGCCCAAACATCTTTCTCCACCACTAGGCTTGGTGGGCCTGCTCCAGGATCCCTTACCTTCTTGGGTCCCTTCTCCCAAGGTCAACCTCAGCGCACCTTTCCCTTCTGTGTTTCCCCTATCTCCTTTGCTAGGCATTTGGGAAGCAAGGGAAGGAGAAAAGTCCAAGCTCGTTGCTTGGGCCCCATCTACATCTCTCCTGTAACCTCTTCTTTTTCTATCCTTACTCCGGATCCCAGTTTTTACACCGCCAGCCCAGGGTCAGCGTCCCTACCGGGCCGCTCCAGAAGGTTGCTGACCTCTCCCCGGCCACTCTAGAGTTAAATGGCACTCGGGCCGGCGGTGCTTCGAGCAGGCACCCGCTCTGCTGGGCTAGGCTGCACTGGGCTCTCCCGGAGGCCCGTCTGTTCCTCGCTCCGCGGCTCTGCGCTGCTGCCCTTGGAGCGTGAGAAGCCGGCGGGGGGAGTTTCTCAGAGAAAGGGAGACTAAAAATAGTAGCCCCGGGAGCGGGCCCATTTTGTGCGCCTTAGGCCCTTGCCTGCTCCCTCACTCTGGTCTCGGAGTGGGCCAGAACGGTCCCTTTCTTGGGATGCCCCTGCGTCCTTCACGCAGACCCAACTACTCGGTTGCCCTCTCCCCACCGCACCATGGGCCCTGCGAGCGCAAGGGGCTTCTGCTGTAGCGGGCACCCAGGCCTGAGGGCCGGGAGGCCTCGGGCCCCCTGCAGCCATTGGTTTCTGACTGGGGCGCAGGACAGGGAGCGTGTGCCCACACCTCAGTGTGTCCATCACTATCTCTAAACCACCCCTACCTTTTGCAAAGCGATAGAATAAATGCAGGACGTGGGGGAGGTGGTCAGGGGCGCCTGTGGCGAAGAAGCTCGTGCCTCTCCCGGGACCCAGGCGGGGTTCCCCACGGGAACCGTTTGTGGCCTCCCGAGAGGGTGCTCCAGAAAGGCCAGGGAAGATCCGGCCCCGCCCGCAGGCCTGGTGTCCCAGGCCTCGGGAGAAGGGTGAGCGGGGCCGGGTCCCCAGGGGGGTCGGTCTCCTTGAGGCAGAGATTGTTTTCGCCTCTAGAATCTCCGGTCTAGCTGCGCCCCCCGTCATTGTCTTCTGGCTTATCACCGGGCACAAGTTTCCTGCCCGGCCCGCGGGGACCCGCCAGGAAATGGATAAGGGGGATGCTGCGAAGGCCAAGGAATAGGGCCGGGGCTTCTGTAAAGACGCGCAGCCGGAAAGCCGTGGGGGTGGCGCGCATCCTGGCCGGATCTGCGCCGGGGCCCTTAGAGGCCTTCAGCCCGGCTTCTGGAGGACGGAAAGCCCGGCCTGCGTGCGGCCTCTGTCCGCCAGAGTGCTGAGGCCAAGGACTACCGTGGCCAGCATCCTAACGCCTGGCCAGGTACAAGCCCAAGGTTAGCCGCCCCCACCCCACCCCACCCCACCCCCAAGGGCTTAGGATTTGGCAGCTCCATGGCCTCTCTGAAGGGCAAAACGTGAATGTTTCTGGACGCCATCGTGCAAGCATAGGTTCGATTGTCCTCTCCTTGACACCGACGCCCCAGTCCACCTCCTGAACGCCAAGAGCTCGCAGACATAAGATTTGTACTTGATTATCAGAGGACCTTCACTCGTGTTTCCACTCTGCCAAGATTTCCTGAGACTTCACAGGACCCATCCAGATCTCCTGGACCCAAAAAGGGGCCCCTTTCTGGGTTCTCAACTCTCTGCTTTCCTGGGGAAACCCCTGGGTTGGGATTGAGCCAGGGGTCCAGGGAGCACCGCTGTCAGTGGGCCGGGTGGAGGGCTAGATCAGTAGGAGCACCTGGGTTAATCGGTAACCAGGAGGGCTTCCAACACTCTCTGCCCATGGGGTTGAAAAGCTTTCGGAGCTCATGCCTCTCGCTCTTCTCCCCAGCATCCCCCTCGCTGGCCCAGCTGAAACTTCACGTGCCCCCTGGCCTGACCGTGCTGAAGGCAGTAGAGGGAGCAGAAGTAGTGCTCCCAATGTGGTACACCCTGCAAGGGAAGGCACCTTGGGTCCAGCCCCAGTCGTGGGAGTTGCTCACCGTGATGTGGTTCTTGGAACAAGAAGGGAAGGATATGAACCAGGTGAGGCAGGAAAGCATCTCAGCCAGAGGCTGGCTATACCCTGTGGGGTGGCCAGGGAATGGGCCACAGGGAAGGAGTTTCAGGAAAAGGTAAGGTCCCTCCCAGGCTCAGGTTTTGTTCTGAGCTTGGAGACTGCCCCAAAGAATTTGCTTGTCTCCAAATTTCCCTAGAAATCCAGCTCAGGAAACACAGGAAAGTGAAAAGGTGGTTTGCTTTTTTTGGGGGGAGGACCAATGAGGACTGGGGTTCGAGGAGGAGGGAAGGGTTAGGGCTAGTACCATACAACTTTAAAAAGCTGAGCATCTTCCTATTTTCACCTTCTCTCTGCTTTGGACACTGTCACAAGCCACTTCTCTTCCCAGATGATTATCTGTCCCACTTCCCACTGCCCCTTTATACATTCCTTTGAGAGACAAGGGGCAGTTTCCTGCCCACCCCCTCCACCTCCTGATTCAGACTTACCCTAGAGGGAGATTTACCCAGAAGCCAATGAAACTTCATTTTCAGAGCTCCTTATTTGCATGGGCTCCTCCCAAGGGAAAGTACGTTCTGGAAGCCATTTGATAAATAGGGGGTATGTGTGACAGAAATTGAGATTACAGGGGTAGATGTAAGTTTTGCAGGGCTGAACTTACACACAGGGAAGGGGGGACGTCTTCAAGAAAAGGAAGATTTTTGAAAAGATATTTAAAAAATCCTGGATCTGTCCCCACATTCTAAGTTTCTTTCATAAATAGCCCCTCTTTACATTATCCCTCACCCACTATACTGACAGAGAGGACCCAGGGGCAGTGAGGGTGGCTAGGGAGTACGGGTGGATGGGGAGCAGGTACAGGTTAGAGGGGGTGAGTACAGGGGAGGAGCACTTGGAGACCGCCAGCGTGGGGGAGGGGATTAGCTGAGCCTGCGGGCACAGTGCATACATGTAATAACCGGGAGGCGTTGTGCCCCACACCAGGTGCTGGCCTACATCAGCGGGACCACGACAGGCAAACCTAGGCTATCCCTGGTCTACTCCATGCCCTCCCACAATGTGTCACTGCGGCTGCAGGGCCTGCGGGAGACAGACTCTGGGTCCTACCGCTGCTCTGTGAATGTGCAGGACCATCAAAGCAAAAACAGGAGTGACAGCAGCAAAACTTTAGAACTCCGTGTGCTGGGTAAGTGAGAAGCACACACTTTGCAATAGCTCCCCAGCCCCCAGGGAGGCCAGGCCGGTCTCTCTCCCAAAAGGCTGTGTGTGAAGGTTGGAGGGGGGCCAATGGAGTGACAGAAGAGGGAGGCGGAGAGTTGTGGGGGGTGGCAGTGAGGGTCTATTGGTTCCTCGAGTTTGAATTTTTAACCTGTCTCCCCACTCCAGTTCCTCCAGCTCCTCCATCCTGCCGTCTCCTGGGCGGACTCCGTGAGGGCACCAACGTGACCTTGAGCTGCCAGTCCCCAAGGAGTAAGCCAGCTGCCCAATACCAGTGGGAGCGGCTACCCCCATCCGCCCAGGTTTTCTTTCCACCAGTTTTAGGTGAGGGAGTTTCTGGAGACAAACGAGTGGGCGGCTGGGGTAGGGACGGATGAGAGGTACCAGAGGGACAGGGGTTAAAAGGGGAGGTAATGCCAAGTACAGTACGGGGGTGGGGGGGCCGGGGTGGGAGGGGGGGCAAAGGGCAGAGGAGGATGTGGGGAGAACGGTGGAAAAAGACGGCCCACCAGGTGCCTGCACCGTGTTGGGGGGCTTACACGTGCTGTGTACTTATGTTACTGAAGAGGGTCTGAAGCCAGATGACCTGCATTTGAATTCCAGCCCTGCCACTGTCTAGTTGTGTGATGTTGTGCTCCCATGTCCTCGTTTGTTTATTTAAAAAAAAATTTATGTTTAAAAAAAATGTTAATGTTTATTTTTGAGAGATAGAGAGAGACAGAGTGTGATCTGGGGAAGGGGCAGAGAGAGACACAGAATCTGAAGCAGGCTCCAGGCTCTGAGCTGTTAGCACAGAGCCCAATGCGGGTTTCAAATTCATAAGCCATAAGATCACGACCTGAGCTGAAGTCGGATGCTTAACCGACTGAGCCACCCAGGTGCCCCTCCATTTTCTCATTTGTAAAACGGGGATCTCACAGCTCTGATTTGAACACACTAGCTACAAAAGATGTTTGGGGACAATTGGGACATTTTCAATATGGATAATTAGATATTATTAGATATTAGATCATTTTTTTTGAGAACTATTAATTTATGGGGTATGGCAATGGTATTGTAGTTATGTGGTCAGGGTCCTTATTTTTTAGAGATTCATGCTGAAGTACTTATTTTTAAATGTCTCACAAAAACTTGGTGGGGCGCCTGCGTGGCTCAGTTGGTTTAGCATCTTACTTCAGCTCAGGTCATGATCTCATGGTTTGTGAGTTCGACCCTCACGTCTTCAGACTCTGTGCTGACAGCTCAGAGCCTGGAGCCTGCTTGGGATTCTCCGTCACCTTCTCTCTCTGTCCCAACCCTCTCAAGCTCTGTCTCTGTCTCTCAAAAAAAAAAAAAAAAATTAAAAATTTTTAAAAGCATTTCACAAAAAGAGAGAAAAATGAAATAAGTATAGCAAAATGTTAGCAATTGTTGATCTAAGTAGTAGGTATATGGATTTTCAATTTGCCTCTTTTTCTACTTTTCATTTGACCAATTTTATAATAAAAGTTATTTTTTTAGGTCACTTTTTTTAAAATTTTATAGAAGAGGAGGAGGGGCAGAGGGAGAGAGAGAATCTTAAGCAGGCTCTACCCTGAGCAGGCTCAGGACCCTGGGATCAAGACCTGAGCCAAAAGCAAGAGTCAGACACACACCAACTGAGCCACCCAGCTGTCCCCAAAGTTATTATTTTTTTTTTAACCAGGACTTGTCTCATAGGTTTGTTGTGATATTTTCATAAGTTCGCACACATAAGGGACTTATCTCTGGCATAGAGTAAGCAACCAATAAACCTTAACTGTTATAATGATTATTTCATATAATTCTTTCAGTGCCATCAAGGAGGTCATATTACCCCATTTTACAGATGGAGAAATTGTGCCCCAGGGAGAGGAAGTAACTTGTTTAAAGTCACATGGGAGCTCAGGTTTTCTGATTCCTAGCCTAATGTTTTCTTTTTCACCACACCGCCAATCTGGAACAGAAACAAAACTGGTATTTGGGTTTCTCTGGGCATCAATTCCTCCTTAAATCTTTTTAGATTATCAGCTGGGAACACTGAGCAGTAGAAATGGAGAGGGGCATAGAGCTAGCCCCAGCTCTGTGCCTGGGGGCAGAGGGAACTCAGCACACTGGAGGTCACAACTTTTCCCCCCACGAGGGAACAGACTGATGAGTCTCCCAGAGAGTCAAAGAGGACATTCTGGAAGGGGCAGAATTTTTCCAGTGGGAAAGAAGGTCCCTGGACTGATGGCCCAATTGTGTCCACAGATGACATCCGGGGGTCTTTAACCCTCACAAACCTTTCCAGTTCCATGTCCGGAGTCTATATCTGCAGGGCCCACAACGAGGTGGGCAGTGCCCAGTGCAATGTGACCTTGGAAGTGATCACAGGTCAGTGAGGGGTAAGTGTGGTTAAGGAGAAGATTGGACACTGGTGGGGGTGGGCTTGCAAGAGGAGAGGAGGCCTGTCAGCTCGTTCTGGTCAAATGTTTGCCCAAATGTTTGGTCACTGGCTGGCTGACCATTTCCTGCTGACAGTCATCCCTCTTCTTAACATGGAAAAAGAGGAAAGCTGTTAACGGTGGCAGTGGGTAGTGGGGTTGGAGGGCCGTGGGGAACGGCTGGGGGTCTCCCTCTGACACCAAGGCTTCCCCAGAGCCGGGGCCTGCGGTGGTTGCTGGAGCTGTTGTAGGCACTCTGGTTGGATTAGGACTGCTGGCTGGGCTGGTCCTCCTGTACCATCGCAGGAGCAAGGCCCTAGAGGAGCCGGCCAATGACATCAAGTAAGTGTCTTCTGTCCCAATGGGGTTCCCCTAGCTTCCCTCCGATGGGAGTGCAGGCAGCTGTCATCTAAGGGGAAGGTGGGGAGTGACTGAAACGTCATTCCAGTGGGGGGATTTTAAGGGAGAGTACAGTGAACTGGTATGTGAGGGAGGAGTAAGATGGAGCAGGTGGAAATACTCCCCTCTCCCCGGCACACACCACCCCCCCACCCCACTTCCAGCTTCTGAGCTCTTATTATTTCTTTGATGACTAGGGAGGACGCCGTTGCTCCCCGGACCCTGCCCTGGCCCAAGGGCTCAGACACAATCTCCAAGAACGGGACCCTTTCGTCTGTCACCTCAGCACGAGCCCTCCGGCAGCCCCAAGGTCCTCCCAGGCCTGGTGCACTGACCCCCACACCCAGCCTCTCCAGCCAGGTCCTGCCCTCACCCAGGCTGCCCAGGACAGATGAGGCCCGCCCTCAGCCAACATCTCCCAGCCCTGGTGGGGTCTCTTCCTCTGCTCTGAACCGCATGGGTGCTGTCCCCGTAATCGTGCCCGCCCAGAGTCAGGCTGGGTCTCTGGTGTGATGGCCCAGTGCTTGTTAGCTAAGCCATCTGGTTTCTCTCCTCCCTCTCTCCTCCCCCTTTCTCCTCCCTCTAGTGGCCATCCCCTAGCACAGGGGCCTGGGTGTCGGACCTCCAGTCCTCTGCCTCCACCTTTCTTTACTATGGGAAAACTGAGTCTCAGTTAAGACCCAAACTTGCAGGAGGTAGAAGAAGGGGAAGTGGACCTCACATTAGGAAGAGCATCCCCCCCCTTGCCCAGTCCTCCCGGGGCACTAGTGAATGCTGCTGGGGCTGGCTACCTGCCTGCTGGGGCCCTGGTGGGGACTGCCAGTCAGGGAGTCCTCCGGGCCCCTTCGATCTGTACTCCCCCCATCTAATATCACCCTTTCCTCCCGAGCCAGCTCCCTGCATTCAGATAACCTGTCCTGCTGGCTTGGCTGGGTTTTGTTGGGGCAGGGGATAGGGGAGGTATTTTTTAAACTAACTTGAAATGTCTGTTTTTGTTTTTATTTTTGCCACTTTTAATAAAGATGCACTGTGTTTGTATAGAAAGCGAGAGTCAAATTGCCTTTGCAAACCCAGGAACGCTTCTCCACGTAGCTGCCCACATCAATTCTTCTAGAGGGTCTTTAAAAGGGTCATTTGCTATCAGGTGGCATGGGGAAGGCCCCAGAAGCCTGAGGATCAGTAAGGGGATGAAATTTCGTGCCCTGTCTCCTAGGGCTTGAGTTCTCGCGGCTTGGGGTGTGGGTGCTCTTAATCTCCTGCTTCCTCTTAAGGGCTGGGGAAGAGCCACCTGACTTGTGCCTCCCTCTCCCAGACCACGGAGTCCTTAGCAAACACATCCTCTTGCTGATCAGACAGTGACGCCCTTGTAGGGCGGGGGAAAGCTGGAGACATGGTGCAGAAGCAGGTGCCCCAATTGTGCCACACCCTTTCCTATCAAGAGTGGGATCTCCTCCAAGACTCAGTTTCTTTGCCCCCCTCTGGCAGTGGGGAGGTGGCTCTGGTTTTCCAAGGAGACTCCTACCTCTCTGCAAGTGGTGACGCAGGTGCCAAAGAAGGGATCTCAGAAAAAAGAAGGGCTTCGAAGGAATAAGAGTCTCTGAAGGGGTCAGAAAGGGTCTTCTGTTCACCCCGGGGCTCATGCTTGGGGTGAAGCCCCAAAGTGGTGATGTCCTTTGCCAACTCAGATTATCAGAATGCCCCCCTCTTCTTCCAGGGACACGCTTTGCTTACAGAGAGCTCCAGGTCCGATCCCTTCCCCTTGGGGTGCCCACCCAAGCCCAGCCCTTGTCCCAGAGCCTGACAGTTTCAGAAGTTGGGGGGTAGAGTACAGAGAAAGGGAGCAGGGTTAGAATGATTCCAGTATTGGGCCCGGACGAGGGAGGAGCATTTCCTTACCTGAGGGCACCGGCCTCTCCCCTTGTTTGCTCTGAGATAGCCAGTCTCGCTCCTGCCCAGCGCGAGTAGGCTGCCCTGTGGGTGCAGCCTTTCCTCCCCCAAGACCCAGACGCCCAGACCGACCCATAGACGGCTGGACTGCAGGACTCGGCCATGGCCCGGCTTTCTGGGCTGTTCCTATGTGGGGCCCTGCTGGGCTTCGCTTGCCTGGGTGAGGCTTGCCTGGGTGAGGAGGCGGCCGGGAGGGCCCGCGGTCGGAGCTGTCCCCCCACCCCCACCTCCCGAGGCCTGGCCTCCAGGCTCCTGGGGACTTCTCAGTTCCGCGGGGCTGGCTGGGGGGTCTTGGCGCCGCAGAGGCGAGGCCAGGAGAGGGCTCCCAAGGCCGGGTGGGCGAGGGACACAGGCGCGCTAGCCTGCAGGCAAGTTGGGCCTCCTGGGAGGGCTTAACCACCACCCGACCATTGTTTTTCTTTCCCTAACAAACACACCCGCATACCTGGCCCAGTCTCGGTCCTTTTACCCACAAAAAACCGGCTGAGGTGTGTGCTCCTCCCTCCCGGAAACCTCAGGTTTCGAGAAGGGATGGGTTGAGGGGAGGTAGGTGAGCTCTGCAGAAGGGAGGAAGCCCCCAGCCTTGGCCTTGGGAGTCGAGGGCTGGGCCAGACCCTCAGACCTCGGGGATTTGCGGCCGGGCCTCGGCCCCACCCCAGCCGCGGACCTGGCGCCGTACGAGCGCTCCCCTCCCTCCGCCCGCCTCCCTCTGCGTCCCCCAGACCCCGGGACAGCCGTGGAGGTCAAGGTGCCGGCCGAGCCCCTGAGCACCCCCGTGGGCAAGACCGCCGAGCTGCCCTGCAGCTACAGCACGTCGGTGGGAGACAGCTTCGCCCTGGAGTGGAGCTTTGTGCCGCCGGGGAAGCCCCTCTCTTCGTCCCATCCGGTGAGTTGAAAGCAATTGCGCCCCAGCGGAGCTGAGCGGGGGCGCTCTGGCCTCTTGGTGGGGCTGGCTGGGAGGGGCCGGCACAGAGGGCCCACCCAAGATGGGGGGTGTGTGGTTAGAGAGGGTGTGTTCCGGGATCAGTATGCTCCGATGAAAACATGAGTGGACTCTTTCTAGAACTTCTTAGGGCCACAGCCTGCACGACCCTGTTATCCCATATATGGCTCTGTGTATCCCAGCCTTCTGTCTCCTAGCTCCGACGACATGCAATTCCCCTGTTCTCGTGCAGTCCGCTTCTGTTAATACACCCATCAAGGCTAACCTCTGGTGATTGTTAGTAGTATCAAATGATGCCCCTTCTAGGAATATTTGCATTAATTCCCCCAACTCTCTCACCCCCATCAAGAGCCATGCTTAGCTGAAAGCAATAAGTCTAGCTCAAGCAGCTCCTGGGAAGGGACGTATTTGGGGACAGCTAAATACCTTGCTGGTTCTGGTCTCCAGAGCATCTGCTTCCCTGTCTGGTATAAAGGAGGGGCCTCTTTTTTTGTTGTTGTTAAGTTTATTTATTTATTTTGATGGTAGGGAGGGGTAGAGAGAGGAGGAGAAAGAATCCCAAGCGGGCTCCAGGCTGTCAGCACAGAGCTGGGCGCAGGGCTCAATCCCACCAACCTCAAGATCATGACCTGAGCTGAGATGGAGAATCAGAAACTCAGCTGACTGAGCCACCCAGGCACCCCTAAAGGAGGGCTTGCTTTGGAGAAAGGACTGTAGCGTTGACACCAGGCAGAAAAAGGCACAGATGTGCATCTTTTGTTCCTCCTCAGATCCTGTACTTCACCAATGGCTATCTGTATCCAACTGGTTCTCAGGCAAAGAGGGCCAGCCTGCTTCAAAACCCCCCCACAGGAGGGGTAGCCACCCTGAAACTGACTGATGTCCACCCCTCGGATACTGGAACCTACCTCTGCCAAGTTAATAACCCGCCAGATTTCTACACAAATGGGTTGGGGCTAATCAACCTTACTGTGCTGGGTAAGGCCGGCTGGGGACCCACCAGCCACCCATGTACCATGAAAGATTGCACTGGCCCTGCTAAATTTTCTCCCTCCTCCCCCCCTCACCTCCCCATATCCTGATTTCCAGCCCAAGCACACAATTGCATTGGGGACCCCGGAAAATGCCTCCTTCCAAAGTCTTCTAATCTAGATGGTCATATTCCTGCCCCACCCTCCATGAAGAATGACTCCTCCCTCAGTCCCTAGATAAAAAAAGGTTCATGAGAGAGAAAGCCCTTCCCATACATAGGGATCTGAGTCATGGCCCCAACAACTCTTTGAGGGAATGTGTCACTTGTAGCCCAGGTTCTGTCTGTCCTTAGGTCAGTGGCAGAGAAGGAGAGCGGCCTTTAAAGGAACAAGGGCCCTATCACAAAGCAGCAACTTTGGGCTCAGAGTTTCCAGCTCCTGGATGAGCAAACAGAAACTTTTAAGGAGGCTGGGGACCCCTAGACGGAAAAGTGAAGGTTTAGAAGGTGTATAACAACGGCATTCAAATATCTGAAGAGTTGTCCTTTGGAGGAGAGATGTCTCATTTCTCTTTGTGGACCTAGAGGGCAGAAATTGGGACTAAATGGGTGGATGTTAGAGTAACACAAATTTTGGCTCAACATGAGGAAGAATTTTCTAACAATCGGAATTTCCAACAGTGGAAATCATTTCCTGGGGATGCAGTGGAATGTGAACTGAAGTGGACTACTATTTGGTAGGAGTGTGGGAGCAGGAATTTTGGCATTTCACGGGAGTGAGGCTAACGGATTGCTAAGGTACTTTCTGTGATTTTTGCAGTGCCCCCCAGTAGCCCCTTGTGCAGTAAGAGTGGTCAGACCTCGGTGGGGGGCTCTGCTGCACTGAAATGCAGTTCTTCCCAGGGAGCCCCCAGGCCAGTGTACAACTGGGTCCGCCTTGGATCTTCCCCTACGCCGTCTCCTGGCAGCATGGTGCAAGGTAAGGGCCCAGGACATCCAGAAAGAGGGGACGCAATACCCAGGCAAATCTGGTCTCTGGCCTGAATATACCCACACCGTGGTTATGAAACAAACTGCTATACCTTTCCCTGCCTCTTTCTTGATGTCCCCAATTGTTCCCTCCTCTCTGTCTTCCTGCAGTCTGTGGCTCTGTGGTCCTGGGAGCATTTCTTATGTTAAACATATTCCCAATATCTTGGAAGATATGAATGGAAGGCAGAGGGCACTCTATGATCCCCACTTTTGGGGATTTCTTAAGGGTCGTGAATCATTTCCAAACTTCCTAGAGAGCAAACTGAGGTAGAGTAGCATGGACTGGCTTGAATCACAGTCAGTTTCTTTGGAGGAACCATATAATTGGGTAAGAGCCTTGGCTTCTCCGCCTCCTCATGCTTGCTCCAGCATCCTGTCCCTTGCCCCAGCCCCAGCAAACCCCTTTATCAATCCAGAGACCCTTCCAGATCATCTGGTGTATACTCTGACTTCTAAAGGGAAAGGTAAGAAGCTTAGGAAGACATTCGGGTGAGCTGAGTCACCCCAGAGGCTATAGTTTCTAACAATCAAGATTTCCCCCTCTAACCAGGAACCTGATATCAGCTAGGAAGCATCCCTCTCCAATTCCTTGCTGTCTCCCGCTCCCCAGAAAAGGCAGCTGTGGGGGGTGGAAAGAATACAGAAGTGGCAGTGGCTTTGGCACTTTCGCTCTGGGTCACCTTAGACAATTACTTTACTTCTCTGAGCCAGTTTCCCCACTTTTAATAAATGAGGTTAGTCCCTTCTTGACAGGATTGTTGTAAGGATGTAGTGAAATATGCTTGCATCATAGTAGGTGCTCACCATGAGTTGAATGAATGATGGAATGCTTCCTCCTTACCCTCTAGATGAGGTGTCTGGCCAGCTCATTCTCACCAATCTCTCCCTGACCTATTCGGGCACCTACCGCTGTGTGGCCACCAACCAGATGGGCAGTGCATCCTGTGAGCTGACCCTCTCTGTGACTGGTAGGGGACACTGGGCAGAGGCCCAGCTGGCAGGCCTGGGTTGGAGAGGCTGCATGGAACTATCCGGGGAGGGGCCAAGGAAGGTCTGCTGCTCTTAGCTTCCTGTGTCTCTGTAGACCCATCCAAAGGCCGAGTGGCTGGGGCTCTGATTGGGGTGCTCCTGGGCGTGCTGTTGCTGTCAGTTGCTGCGTTCTGCCTGATAAGGTTCCAGAAAGACAGGAGGAAGAGGCCCAAGGAGACATATGGGGGCAGTGACATTCGGTGAGCCAGAGGGCTGGGGGAGGGTACGGAAAGGGAGAAAAGGGCTTGGATTAGGAGTGGGTGACTTCAGCCCTCAAACTCTGACATCTTTAGGGGTGTTTGGGAGTAAGGAGTGCTGTTCAGCTCTGGGATTTGGTGTGGGGGGGTAGAGCAGCAAGTGCATTTGTGTTGTGAGCAGTGTGCAGGGTGGGGGACTTGGCTCACGGCTTCCCTTACCCTCCTCATACTTCATAGAATGAATGAGAACGGTGAATGGTGGCATTCATACACCTATAAAATCAGAGTTTTTAAGGCCTTTTCATGTACATCTACAGGATGTGGATGCCAATTGGATTTGCCCTGAGCCCTCAGCTGAACTCAGTTCTCCTGTGTGGGGTAGTAAGGAAAAGAGTGGCAAAAGCTGCCTGTCAACTGCTTTATCTGGATCCAGAAATAGCTTTGGGTCCAGAATAAGGATCAGAGTGATATTTCTCAAAGTGTGGTCCTCAGATTACCTGGACAAAACATACCAGGAGCTTGTTAAACATTCAGATTCAGACTGCTTCCTATCCCTCCTGAAGCAGAATTTGGTGTGTGTGTGGGGAGGGTGGGGGGGTGATGGGCCTGAAATCTTCATTTCAGCAGAAATCCCACTCATGATTCTCATGCACAGTAAAAATGTAAAGTCCTCAGATTTGAGGATGTGGGGGGGTGCCGCAGATCTCTGAGGGATGCCTCCAGCCTTCACTAAAAATGTGCTTATACCTACCAGGGAGGATGCCATTGCTCCTGGGATTTCTGAGCAAACTTCTATGAGACCCGATTCTAGCAAAGGGCTCCTGGAGAGACCCCCCTCTGCCAGCAGTGTGACGACCACCAAGTCCAAGCTCCCTATGGTTGTCTGATTTCTCCCCCTATCCTTGAGGGGTAATATCAAGAATTAAAGCCTTTGGGTACCATATCGCCTGCCTCTTCTTTCTGCCGGCACACCAAATTGCAGTTTTACCAGTAAGAGAAGGAATGGGCTGGGAGCCCTACAGGTGATGCGGTAGGTGGGAAGTTCGGCTCGGAGAGAGTAAGTTTTAACATAGGCCCTCTTCCCTCTCTTCCCCTTCTCACCTCCACTTTTTGGTTTGATCAAGTGAAATTTGCCCAAGCTTCAGGTGGTGGCCTTGTGCACCCAAACTCCCTCCCCTCTGGCACCCTCTGAATACTTGTACATTCCTCTTTATTGGTCACATTCCAACCCAGCACGGTCACATGCACACACGGAGATAAAAATCCTTCGGGCCACAACCCCAGGAGCCCGGCGGGGGCAGGGCTGGCAGGGGCGGGGGCGGGGCCGCGGCAGACTCCTCCTACCGAGCCTCCCAGGCGCTCGGCGTTTGCATAAACAAGGTGAGAGCTGGAGAGGCGGCTCTCGGGGTGCGCTGAGGGAAGGGGAAGCAGATTACAGGCAGGCGTGGGGTTACAGGGTGCGAAGTAGGTAATTCCCTTACGACCAGAGCAAGAGGCGTCCTACACCGTGGAAACCCTCTTTCCCTCTCTCCTCGCCCCAGAGCCAAAATTCTGGGGCTAGGCTGGGGCGCGAACAGCACAGAGACGCAGAGCGCCCCCTTAAGCTGCGCACAGGACGAAAGGACTTTTTTTTTTTAAGTGAGTACACTTGGGCGACGCTTAGGGCGCCCTCCGCAGTGCGCGCAGGGAAGTGCGCGGAGGCTGCGGAGGCAGAGCTGCATGCGGGGCGCGGGCAGAGGTGGGCGAGAAGCAGAAGAAGGAAGATGTGGGAGCGCGGGGCTTGGGGCTAGGGCGGGAAGGAAGGGCGAATGGGGACCATTCTAGACTGGAGGACTAACTAAAAGGGCACAGACTTAGCGACTCCTCGATGGAGCCTGCCTGGGAGTGGGAGTCTCTGGGGACGCAGGGAGAGCTCCTGAAGCTGGCAGGTTGGTGGGAAGGAGAGGATCACAAACACGGCAGGGAAGTCTCATCACTGCGAAGGGGACGCGCCATCCGTCTCTCCTGGCAACTGAGGACAGAGAAGGTCTGAGCACTTGCCCTCCCCGGTACTTCCTCTCCTTCTTCCTTCTCCCTTCCCGAACCAGGACAACAGGGCTGGGACGGCCAGGGGACCCCAGTCACCCAGAACCCCCAACCCGAGTCACTGAGCTGAAATAAGCCCGCGGCCAGTGCGTGTGTGCGCCGCAGTGTGTTTATAGCCTCAGGCCGGGTTTGTGCAGCCAAATAGGGGTGGCTGCGTATCTGTGTTGTTCCAGGTGTGTCCCTGTCGCAGCCTCAGGCGTCCAGATGTGTCAGGAAGCCCTCAGGCTGGGAGGGGGTGAGGGCGGGCAGAGGGAAGGGTGGACGATTTGGTCCTTTTCTCCCACTCAGGCCTCCCACCCGCTTCGGAGGTGTATTCATTACCTTTGAAAATGCTCAGTTCTTCGGTCCAGGGCGGGGCAGAAGGGAGGGAGGAAAGAGAGAGACAGGTGAGCTCTCGGAACACGCAGCACCCTCAGCCTCCTCCCAGCCACCCACCTCCCGTCTCGGGGGTTAGCCCCCCATCTTCGCTCCCCCTCCACCGCCTCTCCACCCGCAGCCCGCCCTTAGTCTGCGCCCCTTCGGAGGGGAGGGCGGGGCCGCTCACCGCAGGTGCCCGCCGCCCCCCGCCCGCCTCACCTGGTCTAGTCTCCGCTGGGGCCGCCGCCCGCGCCTCCCCGGGCGCCCCCAGCTCCGCCCGTTCCCCCGTGGCCCGGGCCCTTCCGGCCGCGCTCTCCGCTCTTTATCTTCTTCCTCGCCATGTGGCCCCGGAAACTCGCCTGGATTTTGGCAGCGGCCGCGTTGGCGCCGGGATCGTCCAGCGGGATGTCCAGAATGTCGTCGTCCGGCTTGGAGCACGCGCTCTCCTGGGGGCGAGGCAGGGGGGTACTTGTGGGGTGACTGGGCCGAGACCCCGCGAGGATGGGGTAGGAGTAGAGCCTTGCGGGGCTGAGTCCAGACAGACGCGGGAGTGGGAAGCGCAGAGGGGAGCTGCGGGCGCGAAGGGCTGAGTAAAGGCCGAGTACTGGTGTGTGTGTGTGTGTGTGTGTGTGTCCCTCCTGGGGAGCGACATGCAAAAAGGAAGGGTCGGGGCCAGGTGGCCACGGGTGTGTTCCCAGCTCCGGAAAGAGGCGGGCATGGTGGGATGGGGTGCAAGACAGCCAGATAGCCCTGAGTGCGCGCAGGGTTCTTCACCATCAGCAGGGCTGGAGAGCTGCAGAACTGATGGCTGGTGGGCTGGGAGGAGCAAAATAAACAACGGAGGGGACTCGTGGACGTGACTGTCCCTCCCCCTGTCCTCAGTGGGTGCCTCCAGCTCAGAAAGGCTCCTTGCAGAAGTCCAGGATTCCCTGGGACCAGGGTGTAGAAGAGTCAGGCCAGTCCCTCCCCTGAGTAAAACCACACCAGGGCTCGATGTTGGAATTCGGGTGAGAGTGGGGCTAGCCCATGGTGTCAGCCTCCTTCTCCCTAGGGCTGGAGGCCCAGAGACTGCTTTGCCATGGACTCTTCCTTTTCTAATGTTCCCCAGGAGGTACTCAAACACAGAAGAGAGGAGTCTGGAAGCTCAGAAGGCTTCACAAAAAACGACAAAGGGGAGATGAGGAGGAGCAAGAAGCCCTTTGCCTTGTGTGCTCCAGAAGAAAGGGATTATGGCAATGGCTACCCATTAAGCACTCCCCTTGTTCCAGGCACAGTAACAGTGTTTTACAGACATTATTTTATTTACTCCTGGCAAAGCTATGACGCACCTTTAATTGGTATCCTAGTTTATCCCGACTAAAAGTGATGATTTAAGTGTTTATAAACCTTACATGAGGTGATACAGATGGTTACTAATGTATCTAAGATTTAGACCCTTGTATGTCAGAGTCCAGAGTGTATTTTTAAACCCTATTCTGCAGGATAAGCAAAGGCAGTCAAGAAAATGAACCGAGCTCTATGCACTTACTACCTGCGTGGTTTGGGGCAAGTTTTCTAATGTCTCATATCAGCTCCTTCATCTGAAATCAGGATATAATCTCTACCTCTATGGGTTGTGAGGAAGAGTAAACCCCATGATACAAAGTTTCTGGCACAATTTAGTCACTCAGCAAATAGTACCTTTTAATTAATAAGTTGATGTGAAATCGTTGTTTTGTAGGCCAAAAGTGGTCATCTAAAAACAATTTCATATGGTTTGGCCTATAATGATCACATCACAGAACCCTTATGCCGCAGGGTTCTGTCTCCCATAACCTGCCCTAGCTGACAGCAGAGAGAGTCAGGGAATTGATGGTGTTGATTTTAGATGTAAGGCTCTGGCATGGAGAGGGCCTCCATCCCTGTGCCCCTTTGTTGTTTAATATTACAGCATTAATGTGGGTTGGGATGCAGATGGTTACTACAGAGTTAAAAGGGCTTTTGATCGGACCCTCTGGCTTCTAGGAATTGTCCATTTTTTGTTTTTCCCCCCTCCCCTACGGACTTGTACTGTTTAAAAATGGCTTCCGCTTATCATGCTTCACAATGCTGTTTTCATTTCCTGGGTTTCAGAGTTTTGCAATTTGTGCTCAAGATGCCCATGATTGATTTAAATGCAGTTAAAAGGAGTTATCAAGGAGCCAGTGCAGTTGCGGAGATGACTGACACTCTTTTTGTCTTCTGCAGGTCTAGTGCGCTCTCTCTGCCATCTTAGTCTCCACCTGTCATCAGAAACAACTCTTCTGGGTTCCTTGATTCTTAGAGCTCAGGCCTCTCTTGGGGTATCGTTAGGGAACAGTGAAGCTTCTCCTCAATAGAGGACAGTGGCTAAAACGACAACAACAGCAACACGAACCCATTCCTGAGCCACCTATCCTTGGCCAGCAGCTGTGGAGGAAGAGGTACCTTCCCCCAATCATGCTAAGGCCAACCTGCTGTCTCTCCCCACCCCAGCTGGTTACAGAATATGGAAACCTGGAACAAGAGGAAAAGACACCCACCACACTGCTCCTCCCCCAATCAGCTTCCTCTCCCTCCAGCTGAATTCTCAGGGCAGAGCTACTAGAGAGAGTAAAAGGAATCCGGGAAGGGTCTTGGTTCCGGGGCTGGTGCCTTCTAAAGCCAAGATTTGATGGTGTGTGCCTGAGGGGTCCATAGACCTGGAGGTGAAAAGTGGAGTAGTGGCTAAAACAGAAGCTTCTGGCCCTAAGTGCGTATATCCCTTCACCCCTGAGGGTCTCAGTTTCTTCAGCCACAACCGGAATTTAGTCTAGATGCATAAATTCTTCTTTAGGTCCCAAATCCTAAAAGCTTTAAGAATTATCCCTGCCTAATGCTTATTATATGCCAGGCCCTGTGCTAAGTGCTCTGCACACATCACCTCACTTAATCACCATTTCAGAGGTCAATAACAGCCCCAGAGACATTTTGTAAGTTACCAGAGGCCAGAAGAGCTACCACATTGTGATGGGATTCAGAAGCCTGGCTGTTAACAACTGCCTCAGGACAGGTAATTATTTCTGTGAGTTCAGCTAGACCTCTAAGTTCAACTAGACTAAGCAGAAGAAAGGAGTGGGAGCCAAACAAATGTCTTTGCCTTTTCATATTACATGAATGTAGGAAAGTCACATATATGTGACTATGTAAATCAGCAACTGGTGCATTTGAATCCATAGCTCTGCCTCTTAAAAAAGAGTCAGGTTTTCTCCTCATTTCTATCTGAGCCTCCCTACCAAGGAGTAAGAAGGAAATAAGGCAGGACTAAGTGTTTCCCAAACCCCAGGTCAGACGGTCAGCAAGGAGAGCCCCAGAATGAAAGATGAAGAGGGTCATGCCTTGGGGTGCCTGGCTGGCTCGGTTGGTAGAGTGTGTGACTCTTGATTTTGAGGAGGTTGTGAGTTCAAGCCCCACTTGGGCGTAAGCTTACTTAAAAAAAAAAAAGAGGGCCCTGCCTCTAGACCCCAGATGCACTCTGTTCTCTCCATGTCCCAGCTCCCTTTCAGCTCCAGTCCACCTCCACAGAATGAAGATGAGGTGGGAAGATGCTGAGTCCCAGCCCTGTCCCACCCTCTGCTCCTGTCACCTCTTCTCCCTTTTCTTGCCCTCTGCACAGTCTGACAGAGGTGCTGCCTCCTGCTTAGTCCTTTAGCTATGCCCATCTGGGACAGGGCCTTCCAGGGTTGTTGTGATGATTAATATAAGGCCAAGTACACGGTAAGCATTCACAAATTGACAAATATTATTGATATTACTAAATCATAATAACTATCACAGCGACTCGTCCCTAAGTTCTTTCTGCCTCTTGGTACCCAGACACAGGGAAGTCTCACCTCTTATAAATTGGGCTATTCTTTCCTTCCAAACCTCCCTTTTTTTTTCTTTTGTAAGTCGTAGGGGGGGGGGCAGGCAAAATCATAACCTCTTGCATCATTAGCTGGGTTGACTGAATGACAGAAAACGCAAGGACTTTGGAGTAGTTTTTCTCCATAGGTAGGGGCTAAAAATAAATAATTAAAAATAAATAAACACATTATATATATTCATATATATGTATATACATATATACATATATATACATATATATATATATGATCACTGTATTCCTCTAGTGTGCAGGAAGCCAGGTCCTGTGCCAGGCACCTTCATACCCAAGTCACCTTAAGAGCAACCTACTTTGGCATTAGGCACTTGCCGCATCCAGGTCTCCGTGGGCGCTGACAAATTGCAGACACTTCCTTCCCTCGCCAGCAGGGCTCTCTCGCGGTCACTTCACCCAGCCCTTTCCAGGGCTAGGAGGCGTTGGGGGACGGGCCAACCCCTCCCCAGAACCACACTGACTAGGCGCTCTGCTGCCCATCATCATTACTGAGCTAACCGATATGAGCCGACTGTCCCACCCTGCTCTGTGCGGTGCACGAGGGTCATGGAGATCATCCTGTCTGCCCACCCACGGCGCTGGCAGTGGGATGGGGAATGCGGTGAGGGCAAAAGCCAGGCGGAAAGGAGACCGAAAGGAGTCCGCTACAGTTTACAGCGTCTCTCTGGGGGAAGTTCCTCTTCTTGTCTAACCTGCAGCTTCCCTGCTGCAGATCCCTGCCGGGTTCCCAGTCCAACCTAGGCTGCCTGGCCGCTGGGCGCCCAGACGCCCCCGCGAGTTGAGGAGCATTTTTCCTAGGGCTTCCAAGTCAGGCGGGTGCCTTCCACCACCCACCACCCACGTCTCAGCAAGCACCCCTTATTGCTCTTGGGTCTTCTGCACCCTCAAATGCACTTCCATCCCTTACTCTCCCTCGGTTGGGGGGGGTGTTCTTGGGAGTCCCTTGCCCCAGATCAAGGTGAGTGCCAGTCCCCCCGGCCCTCTAACTTACGGTGCAGCAGTCCATGCTGGTGTTGGGGGTCCTTGGCTGGGGCACAGGCTGGCGCAGGGCAGGGGTGGGGTCTGGGTGGTGCTGGGTGGGGACTCTGGGGGCTTGGGGCGCCGGGTGACCAGCGTCGAACCAGCCGCTCTGCTCTCGGGTCCTCTCTCCCGCGCTCCGCTCGGCTCGCGAATGTAACCTGAGCCCTTCGGTGGAGAAGCCAATCAGGAGAAGCCTTCGGCAGGGCGGGCGGGGATATTACAGCGAGGACCACGCCCCCTCTCTGCTCCCTCCGCCTCCCTCCCCCTCCAGCCCCAACCCCTCCGCCTACACACTTCCATCCATTCCTCCTACACACCCCAGCTTCTCAAACTCAACCTCCTTGTTTGCTGAGGCGGCAGACTGCCAGGCAGATGTATGCCTCCGCGGGCAGAAGGAGGCCCCCGACTACCCGGGCACAAATACACTCACATCTGGGCACAACACCCCTCCCACCCATATGTAGAAAACCACGCACCTCTCACCCACCTCCCCACACTTGCACAACTTAGCTAGAGTCCCAAATATGGCTCCCTCTAACTCCTCCTCCCCTCACCCCCGCCAGTCCTCATAGAAAAGCCCCCTAAGATGTGCGTTTAAAAGGTCCCATCATCACTCTGCTAGGAAACCAAGAAAGCTTTTGATACTTAACCCGGGGGTGAGCACACATAAACACAAAAGCTCACAAGGCCCGGATGTGCATATATGATACTGCCCAGGTTCACTAAAATGTGCACTTCAACAGACTCTGTAGATACAACCTGCAAAAATAATTATACAGACCTTGTACACACACACACTGTGCAGATTAATGCAGACGTGTACATGTGCTTATACATAGGAGTAGTCACCCTACCTGAGATGTTGCATTACATCTCTATCTATTGATCTTTCTACTATCTATCTATCTATCTATCTATCTATCATCCATCATCTATCTAATGTATGTATTTATGCATAGATACTTGCTTTGGAGAAACACATTTCCTTTCCCATACCAGAATCTCCCTAACCTCGTGGTCCATTGCTTCAGAGTAAAACCAGAACGCCACTCTCGCCTTGCCCCTGGGATGAAGAAAAATACCCTAAAGTCTTATTGGGAAATATAAAAAAAATCATCATCTTTTGGGGTCGATGGTGGAGGAAGGATGCGGGCTTTTGTGAGAGGCTGGAGGAAGGAGATATGGGAGGAGCACTGTGGAGCAGCAGCTGACTCCACTATGGTGGCCAGGGTCCCCTAGCCAGTCACGACACACTGGAG